TTTCAATTCTCTTAATTTGTCTAATCTTTCCTTTAAGCACACTGATCGAGCTGTAAAACATTCTTTGCTTTCGTGAGATTTTCCGCAAAAACACATTTTTGCTCTTTGACGCAAAGTAGACTTGCTGCGCTCGCGATTGATTTTTTGGTCTTAACTTTTACATCTTTAGAATGTTAATCGCGCGAAGTAGAAGAAATTTCAAACCCAGACCTGGCCAGTTTAACTCTCTGCTCTCCTTCGACCTCTTTTCGCAAACATTCCAGGAGATTTGAGATACGTGATCACTCGTTACTGAACAAAACGCTTCTCTGCCATACTCGAAGTATCAAGACTCGACCATGGGATATAACCAGGACACATTAGTATCTAGGGCTAAACCTAAAGATTCTAGAGATCTGAGGTGGTACTCGATTTTGTCAAACAGTGACACTAGCGGCAAACGTTCCTTACCCCGTAAGCGTACATTTTGGATAATTAATTTTAACAATTCCCTCACATATATCTCAGTTAAAATTTCCTTGTTTCCAAAACGCTCCTCAAACGCAGAAAATGGCTTTCGGGTAATTTTCAGCCGTTAAAGGATAACTATCTATCAACTCACTAGCCCGAGTTCCGGGTAACATTGATTGAGCTAAATAATGGAATTTGTCAACGTCATTAAGCTCCTTATCCTCATGGATCTTTTTAAATTGACCCCAAAATGTAAGGTAACTTAATAATTGTCCATCGAATTTTTTAATTTGAATTTTCGGCAACTTGTACCGTTTTTTCCATTAGAAGCACTTATGCTACTATCCGTGTTAGAACTCGTATTGACACTACGGTCAACCGCATTATCTAATATTCTCTTTCACCCGACGATTAAGTGTGATAAACTCATCTGAATATTCTTCGCAGCCTATGACCTCTGTTTCCAGATCATCTTCAGCGGCTTTTCCCTTAATCATTGAATCTAGTATTTCTGAATCGCAAGATCTCACTCAGCAATTATCATCTGCAACTTCAAAATTTTGTCTTTCAATACATCTCTATCCTGCTTGAACATCTTTACAAAGTTCGGTTTTTAGAATCTTAGCCGTCCTAGTAAAGGCACTGCGTGCCGTTGCACGCTTTTTCTTCAACATATCAACATCCATTTTATCTTTAAATGCAGACCCACTTAAAACTCAAAATCTGTAATGTTATCATCAATCCGACAAATCCTCAAAAACGTCTTTACTCAGCAATTCCTAAAAATATAACTCAATATAATAAAAATGAATAACAATATGTCATAACATTCATAATACAGCAAAACAAAATTATTTTGAATATCACAGTAGAAGATTTAACGCATAACCTTTTCTACGTTTACACTGCAGACGATTTAACGCATAGCATTTCGATTGAAAATTGAAACTAATTTCGAATACAAATACGAAATTCAACATTGCAGACGATAAAACGCATTACGTTTCCAAATAACACTTAAATTAATATTTACTTCTACAATAATATAATATAGCAAACACAATACTTTCTCAACTATATTAATATAATAATCCCAACACATTCGAATCAGGATCGCAATCCTGGCAGGCTCGCCATTTTGTTATGTCGTGGAGCAAAAACAATTTTACTTTACACCTGACTGCCACTAGCTCCGACATAGCAATGTGAATATTCTACATCTAAAATTTTAAACACCATTCCAGAATTTAAATTGTTTATTTAATACAATTCTATTCGGTGCTACTTTGGTAGGCGGTTGCACGGATGTTTGGCGATTTACGTTGGCACAATTGTTGGCGCTATTTTTACAAACGTCAGCCATCTGGAAAAACGCTGTTTTTACGCATAGTAAAGTATTCAAAACTTTAAAAAAAAAAAAAAAAAAAAAAAAAAAAAAAATAAAAAAATAAAAATAAAATAAAAAAAATATCGTAAAAGTAATGGATTAATTTTTTGTTGAAAATCCCTTTTTTAATCCATGGCAGCAAGGGTAAATAAATACATTTACTATGAGAATAAATAGTAAAGTAAGGTTACTATACTTTCATATAGCAAAGAGAATAAAAAACACCGCGATAAAAACATTGTGCCACGTTCATTAGATTAAAATATTACTGAAATTGAATATCGAATTAAAAACCATCATACCAACATTTGAAAGAATTAGAATATTATAAATTCAAATACTTTAAAATACGTTATAAGAATATAATTACATTTAAAACATATGGACAATAATTATCTCAGCAATTTTTGAAAATATGTATTAATTTTTTCAAAAAACTGAAGTATACAATTATAAAATAAAGGAAAAATATGTACTTACATTTTTTTAGTCATTTAACCTATTGCTTATTGATAAGTACCACAAAAAAAAATCGGCACATAATTAAATAACATCTTTGAAGACATCTTTCAAGGAATTCGAAGATATGAATTAAATTTTAAACGGCGCGGAAATGCACAAATTTTTTAAGTAACCAAATCAGGGGCTGATTATAGCTCGTTAATGCACAAATATTCAACCAATCAGAGAGCTTATTACATCACGCCTAGAATTAAAATTATTTAAAAATTCATACATAATAAAATCATTTTTTTAAAAATGCAAAATTAAATTGTATTTTAATATTTAACAGCCATAAATAATGTTTTAAAACATTAGATTAAATTATACATATAAAAACCAATTACTTTTAAAGTAAGGTGACGTCATTGGCTACATCATCCACAATATACAATTCATAAAATATGATAAACAATAAATTTTTATTTCAAATAAAAAGCAAAATTAAATTGATTTTTTAATATTTAGAAGCCATAAATAATTTAAAAAAACACGGAATTTATGCACAATAAACACATTATTTTTTTAAATAAAATGACAACAAAGTATCGGTTACCATAAATAACTTATCCATCAATGGGTTTACCATAAGTTGTATTACTCGCCAAAAGAAAAATCGCCAACAAATCGCGAAATTTCCGTGCAACCGTCTACCAAAGTAGCACCTTCTATTCATATATTTGCAAGTTATGCACTATAAACACAATAACAAAATTTGAACTTATCTGCACTAGCGTGAATAAGCCTGGCATAATATTCTGAACTCGACGCAACTTAGGGAGGAAAATTACCGCAAATTCAAACACAAGGTTTCATCCTTCCAACGCAGCTAATTTTCTAAATATATTTTACTAATATCTGCAGCGGGACAGCGGATCATTTCATTCACCCAAAACTCAAATGTGGGTGACGCAATAGTATCGCAAAAGACAACGCAAAAAAAACATCGACTCAAAATCAAAATATCTAAAAAACTATAGAATACATCCGCTGTTGCCATTCCAGCACTGCCAAGTTTTTCTTCCTGCAGCTGTTGCCAGACTTATCCTCGCTGTATGATGAGAGATACAACAGCCTTATTGCTCGAGTAAAGACGAAACACCTTCGTATTTATTTATTAATTATTGTTCATTGAACGGGAGTTGGTATTCTTATATGTCGTATTCTTGACTATGGAATTTTATTATTACACACATATATATATATATAGACCAAATGCAATTAACATCGAGGAGGCAAAATTTTGAGAGCTAATTATTTTTTAAAAACTAGTCGTGCGATTTTTACAAAACTTGGCAATTTGGCATAACTTGAGTCGTAAAATCGAAATATGGAAACACATTGGCATGTCTTTTCAGAAAAAGTCCCATTTTGTGTTAAAATATCTGTATTAGAACAATGCTGTTTGTAAATCTCATACATATCCTTTCGCTTTCGAAGCATGAAAAACGCAAATTGAATTTCGCCAATGGGGTCAGTAGATCGGAAGATATAGAACTGTCCCATTTTTTATAGTCCAAAGGGGCTTTGTCTCTGAAGTACTATGGTTTTCTTTTTGCGATTTTGCGTTGGTTCACTATAAATGTCCGTTTCACTTTTCAAACTGTTGCCACCCAATGTTAGAGTCCTGCATTATATTTGAAGAAATTAAATAATGAAAAATCTGCATAAATGTATATATATTTCTTGCATTATCATACAACAACGGTACATAGAGCTAACGAATTTTAAAATGACGTAATCCTGCTGCGAATATGGGCATGTGGAAGCCCAAATTTGAAATTTAGAATTTGTTTTATTATCGATTTCATGCTTTGTAAATCTTTAACGAATTTTTGATTAACAAACTCAAGGATTTCAAAGCGAGCGATGGCGATGTTGTACAGTAAAAAAACATTTTATCTCCAGCGCGTAAGACTGCGTATCCGGAAATTCTAAAGATATGCTCAATTTAAACTTATTTTGTGATATTGCTCTTGAACTGAATTTTATGGTCGAAGAACTTGATATTTAATAAATAAAGGTAACAGAGAAAATGTTAAAAAAACGGCCCTTTAGAAATAATTTAAAATCTGAAACATTTCAGATTTTTTTTTTTTTTTTTTTTTTTTTTCCGCTGTGTCCTTGCAGTTAAAGAAAGTGTCTATTCTAATTCAAGTTGTGATTCATTAACAGAATTAATTAATATTTAATTTATTTAGAAATTAATTAGGCGGATATCACCGACGGTTATACGGCTAAATGATTACCGTAAAGGTCCTTATTTTCGCAGGCCGTAATTTTCGCGAAAATGAATGCATCGGTGACTTCGCTAGGTGAAAATTTCGCGAATTTTATATGAACAGAACCGAAAGTTGAAAAATTTCAGAAGTACTTAAGTTGAGAAAGTTGGGAAAAAAAAAAAAAAAAAAAGTATTCCGCGAGGCTTAAATTTTTGCGATTACGACAAGTTCACGAAAATCGCGAAAATTAAAGCCTCGCGAAAATAAAGGCCTTTACAGTACGATGTGAATACGTAAGTGTATATTCGAAATATCTACTTGTAAAGTCACATGACCGTCAAATACGAAACGTCTATTTACAAATTTACTTAGTCATTTTGCACTCGATCTCCAATGCCAAGTGTCTGCATACCACAACTATAAATTCCTTTCCTTTTCATTTTCAACCTTCCGTAGTTGACAGCAGAACTGACATAGTAACCAGTGTCTCCACTGTTTGCCGTGTGATTCCTATGTCAGAAAGTTTCTTCAAAATATTACCTGATTATTTTGCGCTTCGGTTCTTGTGGTAAGTCTGTTTAATTTTAGCTCTTTTTCTTGCTAGCAAGAATTCTTAATTAGTTCGTCTCGAAGATTTTAGTACGCCTAGGCTGACTTTTGTTAATTAGTACGCCCAGGCTGACTTTCGTTAATTAGTATGCCTAGGCTGACTTTCGTTTCGTAATTTTAAGCAAACTTAAATTTAAGAGACAAACTTCCTTTAAGCCGCATATTTTCATTTCCTTAATTCACATTAATTTTATGTTATAAACATTTGTGGCATAATCTTAAGACGCATGTGTCCTCCACGAGGCTTGGCAAACCTTGGTACGCCCTATGGAATACATGATCTGTGAAATACATGCCCTATGGAATACATGTATATGACCTGCATTAAAATCGTTAGCTCGATTGTCAAACGGCAGCTCTGTTTTTATTCGATGTGGTATGACTTACACCGTTTTCCCGGTGGTTACGCTTACACCAAGGGTTATCAAGTAGCTGAGAATTCTTCTCTGGGGCAATTTCGTAGTTTCAGAGAAGGGGGACGCTTTCATTTATCTATATTTAGTTTAACTTTATTAGACCAAAGGGGCAATTTGCCCAGAAGAATTATTAATTTCTTTTTAGCATTTTGCATCGATTCAGGATAAGCGTCGTTTCACGTTTCAAATTGTTTCCACCAAACATTATCGTCCTGTATTAGATTTAAAGAAATTAAATAATTAAGAATTTGTATGAATGTATGTATGTTTCTCGCATTGTGATAAAACAGCGGTACCTAGAGCCATCCAAATTTGAATAACGTAATCTTCCATAGAATATGGGCATGTGGAAGCCCTAATTTAAATTTGAAATTTGTTTTATTATCGATTTCAGATTTTGTAACACTTCAACGAATTTTTGATTAACAAACTCATCGCTTACAAAGCGAGCAATGTTAACAATGTACGAAAAAAAAAAAAAAAAAAAAAAAAAAAACATTGTTATTTTAGCGCGCGAGACTGTGTATGGGAAATTCTAAAGATAGGAAAGATAGGATCATTTAAAATTATTTTGGGATATTGCTGTTGAACTGAATTTCGTTGTTTGAGTACATAGAACATGATCTCTACATATAATAAAAGAAAGAGTCTGTCTGTGTGTGTGTCTTTGTGTCTTTCGTTCGCGCTGCGCGTAAGCTAATAGACCCAGGGCTACGAAATTTGGTACATAGGATGCATCTAGACAAGAGCCAGTGCACCTCGAAGCGATTTTTTCGAAATTCGAATTCTTTTTATTTTATGTTTTGTGACGAAATCGCGTCATTTTGAGACATAATGGGCTATAAGAAAGCAAGATTTTACTCTACACACTCCATTTTCACATCGTCATGAAACGTAGGCGCTTAGCTATTTTACGAACTTAAAATAAATTTCGTGTTTCAATAAATCGATTAAATACGAATTTATTTAAGAAAGTGAGCTTAACACACTTTTCAACGGGATTTTTTTTTTTTTTTTTTAAAAAAGTTATTTTTAAAAATGTACAGTTTTTTTTTTTTTTTTTTTTTATTTTTAGACGCGTTAAACTTTCATCCTCGCGACTGCTTTTACAAAAAGAATTTTGGAAAAATGATAATATTTTGTATTTTTTAAAAAAATTTTAATGAAGCTTCCAAGTACCCTTCTCATATCTCACATCTTTAAAAATGTGATTTTGGCAACAGTTTTCCTTTCTTATTGTTGTTGATAGATTTTTGATGAAATCACATCATTTTGAATAGTTTCATTCTTTTAGAATATGGGTTGGCAACAATTTTCATCATATTCGTATGTCACTGTTTTTAAGAGATTGGCATATTTCATTGTCATTTATATATATATATATATAATACATTATTATTATTATTATTATTTGTTAAAGTTGTTCTGTAGAGTAAAATTCTGCGCAGAATTTTATGTTTTTTGAGTTGCTTTCATGTTATTTTTTGCTTATTTCACTGTTTGTAAGATATTGAAAAGCTTTGAGTGATTTTTTTAGGAAACAAAGTTCTTAACCTCTTCTTAACCTCCTTTATACCATTTGAGTTCTTAAGATTTTGAAAAGGGAAGTTGGTTAATTTATTTATTAGAATAATTAATATTTGTATTAAGGGATATTGCTCATTTCATTGTAATTTTGTTATACGTAATAACTTTTTTTTATGAAGTTGTTCTGCAGAGTAAAAGTCTACGCAGGTTTTAAATTTAACGTTTGGTCTTTCCTTCAGCCATTTTGCCGGTACATTTAAAAGCCAGACGAAAGCTGGCAGCGAAGCTGCTAGTATTTCATAAAAAAAGGTAACTCACAAAACGTAAAAAAAAAAAAAAAAAAAAAAAAAAAAAAAACTCCTTTGCACGTAATTTTATATCTGAAATCTTACAATTTTTTTTTTTTTGTATCAACTTTATTTAGTTTATGATCTTAAAATATTTTATTCATGTTTTGGTATTTGTCAACATTTACTATACATTTTTTGTTTAATTTATAAAAAATAATAAATGTTTAATTTATTTATGATACTCTCTTACACACAAGTTTCCAGATGCTCGTATTAGTATTTAAGGAGTTGCATCTTATTATTTTTTTTTAACAATGAAAGTTTCCTGCTCCCTTTTCCCACTTATATGTCTTAATTCCTCTTATCTGCCATTTTTTAGAGTTGCTTCGGAGGTTTTTGTTCACTAGAAAAGATAACTTTGTAGGTGAGCGTGTCAGTCTTCTCACATCGAAATACTCAGAATTACTGGGCACTTTAAGAGGTGACCACCGTAAAAATTTTCATCATTTTTATGCTTACATTTAACCCTTTCCTTATACAAAACACAGGGGAAGGGGCATTGTTCAAATAAAAGTATCCTTTTTTTCAGTATTTATATTCAACACAAGACTAGAAAAGTAAAAACTCATAAACTCTATCTACAAAATTTGGTTTTTTCACCTCATCTGCGAAAAGGCAAGAGTTTTGGAACGAAGAAGGAATGATGCATTCCTTTCACCACTGTTAGCAGCGGTGAAAGAGATGCATTTGACAAAAAAGATTGAGAACCACTGATTTATGCTTTCTACTGTAACTGTTTAACGAAATGATCGATTTAGAAGCAATGAGTGAATATTCTTAATGAAGCAATGAATGAGCATTTTTAATAATTTGTATGCTTATTATACTTTTTATTGGTATATGCAGCTGGTATAATCTATATATATATATAAAGAAAATATTTGCGTGTGTTTGTTCGCTAATTACTCAGTCACTACTATAGCTTTGTCAAACAAACATTCTACAACTCTTTTCTGGTTCCTGGAAAAGATTGCCGTCCACTTTTTCTTTAAAAATAAAATAAATAACTAAATAAATAAAAATAAAAAAAAATTAGAGATATTAATTAAATTCTCGGAAAAACGTTAATTTTCGCCTTCATTTCTCTGAGCGGCAACAGTTTCGCAAGCTGGAGATGCAAATTTGCTTTATTTCGAAAATTGTTGCCACTGCTCGCTTTCAAATCCTAGAGTTTGTTAATAAAAAAATTCTAAGTTTTACGAGGAAATAAAAATGGCATTGCCAAACATTTAAATATATTATTATTCCCGATTTCAAAAATTCGTGGAAAAAGCATTTCGACTATTTCCAACTTCGTACGAGTTTAATCAACCAAAATATTAATTCCCATCATCTTAAATATTATTCCCATCTTCGTACGAGTTTAATCAGCCAAAATATTAATTCAAAACTCTGACAGCGCTAATTTTCGCGCTCATTTTTCCGAGTGGCAACAATCTATTGCTTGAGATAAAAGTGCTTTATTTCGAAAAGGGTTGCTACTGCTCGCTTTTATCGTAGAGTTTGTTAATAAAAAATTTTTAAGTTTACATAATCTATACATGTAAAGAAAAATGCCTTTTCGTGTGTTTGTTCGCGTTATTGATTTCTGATTAATTATGATCTATTTTTTTGCCACATTCAATCGACTCAAATTGAATATAGGTGAAATATTTGATGGAACTTGAGCTTTTACGATTATGTGATTAGAAAGACGAAAATCATTATCAACTGCGGGCCAGTGTTGCTGATATAATGAGAGAGAATCAGCTTATTTTTCTATGAAAATTTTTTAAGTGGGTTCCATATCTCATCAGACTGAAAAATGTACGACTATGAATCGTAGTAGCGGTATCGTTCTCTCTGTTGTTAGATGCATTACTCTCAATCCTAACTTAACTGACATCGCGTACTTCCGCTAGTTACTAATATATCAAACTAATGTTTTTTATTACAGACCCTATTTAAAAAAATATGAAAGCTTTCAGATTTTATATTACGTCCAAAGGGGCGTTTTTGTAACTTTTTAACTACATCTACCTATAAACGAAAGAATTCCATACCCAAGAAAATTGGAATTAATAACAAGAAAAAGGCTGAAAGGGCACTCAGTTTTGTTTCTAATTTTAACATTATTCAAAAAGAAAATGCGAAAATCTCTAGAATTAATAACATAATTTATTTGCAAAATTTAAAATTAAATTTATACGTACAAAATATTAAAGATGGATCAGCAAGAAATTTATTAATTTATTATCGTTTTTCGAATATTAAAAAAATCAGAAATTAATGAGCGCTTAGGCATTGCCTAATCTTGCCTACCTATTTATACGCCACTGCCTACGCTTTAACATTTTAGATAAAATATTCAATAACATATTTTCTCCAAAATTTTAAGTCGCAGCCATAGCTACTGCTAAAATTTTCGATCCTAGAATTTTGTTATAACAGATATGCCATGGTATGTTTGTTATATGAAATGAATTGTATGGTTTACGTGCGAAGAACATGCTATTTGATAAATAAAGATAACACACAAAATGTTAAAAAACGCCCCCTTTTGGACGTAACTTAAAGTCTGAAACCTTTCAGGTTTCCTTTTTTATTTTTTATTTTTATTATTTATATGTAGATTTGAGCAATGTTTTTGGTTTTCGCGATTTTTAAGCTATTTTCTCGGCTTTTAT